TTTGGTTCAATTAAAAAAATAACACATAAATAAAATGTAGGATAGGACAACAAGAATGAGATGAAAAAGCTAATCATATACATATTGAAATGCTCGATTGTTGATAATCATAATATTAACTAAGTTGAAAGGTAGATAAAAACCTTCATTTTCAATATGCAACTAGCTATTCAATTAAAATTCAAAGTGAGATTTCAATTCCTCAAATGGAAGAAACAAAAAGGCATTCAGATACGTGTTAGTGAAATTGCTACTATATGCTTCAACTTGTGTGAAAGTAAGGACAAGTGAGACGATTCGTCTAGTGGTGAAAGTTGCACTCAACCTTCTTCCATTGACAACAATCTGAATTTTTCCTCTCCTCTCACCTAGTTTCTTAGAGAAAATGTAAAATTGAAGAAAGGTTTGATCAAGTTGGAGGAGAGCAGTTCTCTCTTGGTCCCAACACCATTGGCACCACGGCCCTTTCCAATAAGAAGAATGTAAGTAGCACATACATTAACCATTTCGACTCCATCAAAATATACTCAGATTAACCATCAAGTATTGCTACTGTCTCCATACCATTACCAGTAATTCACCTTAGACCTTTAAATACACAAGTAAAGTAAGCAACTATTCCACGATTCCATTTTTTGTCATAATTGGGTTCCACACATTCTTAATTCAACTTTGTAGTTTCTACTTTCCACAACAATTATATGCACCCATTTTCTTTCTCTTTAATTCCTTATTTTATTAAAAAGTATTAAAAAAATCATAACAAATTGGTTTATATTGAGATCAGATTATCAAGGGAAAGAAGAATTTATACCTTCATTAGTAATAAATGGATTAATTATATTGAAAAAAAATTAAAATGGTAATTGAACTTATTGACTTTAACGCCCTAGCATATAAAATAAAGTCAAAACTGTACCATAGTTTGATGCTAATAAGTTGCTCCTGGCTAGATGTAGAAACTTGAGAGATGAAAGCTCACTCAAAAATGTTAAGTTACTATTATTCAACATATTGCAACTTAGATCAAGGATTTCCAAATGTTTCAACTTAGAAAGTCTCTCAAAACCTGCAATACATACAATTACTAATTCAATTTTGGAGCCACACATAAATATTAAGACGAAACAATAAGGAAACATGTTTCTATAAGTAAAAAAATGGAGAGTTATACCATTAGCATCGTTAGATGCTTGGAATTTGTTGTAGACTAGATATAGAGACTTGAGAGATGGAAGCTCACTCAAATATGATAAGATACTATTGTTCAACATATTGTAACTTAGATCGAGGATTTCCAAATTTCTTAGCTTAGAAAGTCTCTCAAAACCTACAATACATACAATTACTAATTCAATTTTGGAGCCACACATAAATATTAAGATGAAACAATTAGGAAACAGGTTTCTATAAGTAAAAAATGGACAA